GTCCCAAGGGGGCCGGCTTAACTTGTCTGGTGCTCACTTGCTTCTCACGGGAGCCCGAGGGTGGCGAGGGCATAAGGGCAGGATGAAGGAGGCATCCTCGGGCTTTTGTGGGGAAAGAGGAGGAACAAAGACATCCGGAGGGCAGTCCAGGGGCTGTGGGAGCCCAGGGGTTAGTCAATCCTGGACTGGGGATGGGTGGTCTAGGTTTTCTGGAAGGGCAATATTTGGACTGGATCTTGAAGATGAGTAGGAGTTTGCCAGGAAAGAAGTAGGTGAGTAGCTGTAGGGGCCCTCGCCATGTGAAGTCCCAGGGTATACAGTAGGTGCTCAACGAGTTTGAGCTGCTGTTAATAAACCACCAGCAAATACCGACTGAGCTGAGGGCCAGACTCAGTGCACAGCCGCCTGTGTGGGCCTCGGTGGGGCGACCTCTGAGCTCTGAGCCCAGCCCCGCCCTGCAAGGCACCGGGAGGAAGGGCTCTGCCCCCACTGGCTGGGCGACCCGGACCAGCCCCCCATCTCTGCACCCCCATCTTTGGGGACACATCCTGGAGGCCCTGGGGGCTGCAGGGCATACGCATCATGTGCTCTGAATCGCCCCTCTGTGAAGTGGGGTCAGGAAGGATCTGAGACCCACGCGATGATGAGAAGACACTCTTTGGCCGTCGCCGTGGTGCTCGTGTGCTCAGATACCCGAGTCCGCACGTGCATGGACCAGGCGAAGCCCCCGCCCTGAGCCCGAAGGAGCCTGGGTGCTCGCTGTGCCTCTAGCTGTCAAGTTCCTTTTGGGCAGTGGCAACCCCCTCCGTGCCTGAAATATTTACAAACACACTGTGGTCCCAAGTGGGCCGGCTTAACTTGTCTGTGCTTCACTTGCTTCTCACGGGAGCCCGAGGGTGGCGAGGGCATAAGGGCAGGATGTGATCTTAGAGCCGCTGTGGGAAGAGGCATCCTCGGGCTTTGTGGGGGAAAGAGGAGGAACAAAGACATCCGGAGGGCAGTCCAGGGGGCTGTGGGAGCCCCAGGGGTTAGTCAATCCTGGACTGGGGGATGGGTGGTCTAGGTTTTCTGGAAGGGGCAATATTTGGACTGGATCTTGAAGGATGAGTAGGAGTTTGCCAGGAAAGAAGTAGGTGAGTAGCTGTAGGTGGAGGACATGATATCTACAAAGGTGGGAAGATGAAGGATGGTCTGGAGGCTCCAGAGACCTCGAGTGGGTTTGCTGTCCGTGTCTGTCTGTCCATGCTCCCTCTCCGGACAACTTCAGAGAGCTGGCACAAGGACTGGGGGTGAGGGCGGTGGAGGGAGCTGAGGCTGGTGGGGACAGGAGGGCCTTCGGTCTTCTCTCCCCATGGCCCAGGCAGTGGCCCAGCCCTACCCCAACCTCGCTCTGCTTGAGAATCTGTCAACCCACCTCCAAAACGGAGGGGTCCCGGCTGGTGCCCCACTGCCAACGCGGCGCTCCACGGCGGCCCGCACTGGTCTCCCAGCTTCAACCAGGGCCCACCCGCCACGTGGCCCTTACCGAGTTGCTCACTTTTGTGGCGCACCCTCAGGACTGACGTCACCTTCGGGACACCCTCGAGGATCGCACAGGCAGGAGGGGTGGCAGAGGGGACAGGCGGGAGGGGCCCCGTGACAGACATCCCCTGCTGATGCTGGTGCAGCCCCAGGAGCATCTTCTCTGACACTGTCCTGGAGTCCAGCCCTGCCTGTCCCCGTGGGCGCGAGGCCCCCGTGCCGTGGTGCACTCACATTCTCACGGGAGTCTCTTTTCCCACTCGGGTTCCCGTGATGGGGCAGAAAGCCGCCGTGTGCGTGGGTGGTCTAGTCCTTGCCTCGCTGTGCAAGTCCGGGGTTTGGAAATGCCCCGTGGGGACCGGCCCGTGGCTTGGGGACCCTGGGTGGGTCCCTCTCACCCCCGCCTCCTCGTGCAGCATCTTGGCGGTCTGTGTCGGGTCTCGCCCGCCCCCCGAGCCGGGTCCTCCCCCTGCCCTCTGCACCCAGCGCTGGGGCCTGAGGGCGACAGGCAGTCGTTGGACTGACCCCTCCAACGGGCTCCAGGTTCTGCAGTTTGAAGGGGCTGAAGTGCCCTCTGCTGGTGGCCGGCACCTCAGAGTGATGATTCCAAGTCGGGAGCTGAGAGGCCCACTCAGCCAGGAGGCGAGCCCCACCCCTGCCCCTTCTCCTGCCCCGTGGCCCACCGCCTGTCCCTGGGGTCCCCCAAAGGCGCTAAACGTTCACATCTCCCCTCCCGGAGCACTCCCTCCCAGACCTACCCCCCGCCCGTCTGCTACACCCCAGTCATCTCTAAGACCCAACTAAGAGCCACTTCCTCCAGGAAGCCTGCCCTGACTTCACCCAGGGGAACTGGCCTCCCCTGCTTCTGTCGGTCACACTGCATGCTCCTTATCTGTCCATCTGCCCTCCCTGCTGGAGACTGTGCACTCCCCAGGGGCAGGGACGATGGCCCTTGTGTCCTCAACACACAATGCAGGGCTGCACAGGGCTCACACGGGAAATGTTTGTTGAATGAATGATTTTAATGTCAACTCACTTCAGAGGTTCTGAGCAGGACTATTTTGAAGTGGGTACCTTGGAGCAAAACCCAACACACACACACACACACACACACACACACACACAGAGACACACACACATACATATCTTTTCTTTTTTGGAGGGACAAAAATAATATACATAAACATATTCTCATTGAGAAAAAAAATCAAACAATATAAAAGTTTATAAGCTATAAAATAAACCCCCACTCTACTTTTTTGCATCCCACAACCTTTCATAAATCACTACTGTTCTCAATTTGGGGTGTATTCCTCCCCGACTTTTCCCAAGCATTCTCTTTTCTTTATTTTACTTTTTTCTTTCCTTTTTGTTTTTTACATAAATGGGATCACACTATACACATAATTCTGTCCTTAATTTTTTCCATGAAATGCTCCATCTCAAAGTCCTTCGAAGTCAGCACTGGGAGGTCTATATTGTTCTTTTTAGTGGCTGTGAAGTGTCCCCAACCCCAGGACTCCCACATTGTCTAGGGCCCAGGCTTGTCAATTACACCTCAATAAAGCTGGGATATAGGCCAGGTGCTTCATTTTTTGTTTAGTTTAATTTTAAACTAATTAATTTTAATTTGAATTAAACTTATTTTAATTTAACTTATTTTTTGCAGTTTCAAACAACATTTCTGCAAACATCCTCACGCACAACCCTTTGTGCTTGTGTGCACATATTTCTGTAGAATTGACTCTTAGAAGTGGAATTGCTGAGTCTGGGGACATCTCTATTTCACCTTTTAATAGATACTATCAAAATACCCTCCAAAGAGTGGATAGCAATATACACCCACATCAACAATGCATAAGCGCATCTATTAACATTTCTCCACATGCTTGACAGCACTGGGGGTTTAGACTTCTGAAAAATGTTTCGACACACCTGATCATCCCAGCCTTCAAATTTAGCTGAACCTGGCTAAAATGGCTAGTCAGGGTAGCCTTCAGAGAAAAGAGATTGGGACAGGGTACCCGGTAGGTATACGAACCTCCAGCCTCTTGGGGCAGCAGCTGGTAGCCCCACTTCCTTTCCCTTGGCCAGGGAGGGAAGGTCCCTCTCCCAAATCCTTGGTCCTGGACTCAGAGTCCAGGCCCTCATTGGTCCCCTAGGAGCAGAGGGGCTCCGGGGCCAACCCCAGTCCCCAGAGAGGCTGATTTGCTTCTGGAGACATTTCCAGTCCTAAGGAGATCCCAGGCGGTTCCTAAGGCAGCACCTCCATCCTCTTCTTGGAGAATGCTCTCTGCCGGGGAGAACCAGAGAATTACAGACTTGGTTATGCACAGCGAGGCCAGAGAATCTGAAACAAAGTCTTATGTCCTGCAAGTGTCAGGGGTTTGGGAACATAGACGTGCTTTCTGAGATATTAGGAGTGGTCCCCCGGGCCCGCAGAGGGGGCGGCTGGAGCATGCAGGGTCCTCACCTCTCATCCACCCCTGCCCCACCCTAGACCAGGAGGATCGCATTTGGAGATTGCAACTTGGAAATAGCTGTTTGTTTGTGTTGTCCAGAAAGACCTGGAGGAAGGGACAGTGGGGCATTCCCAACATTCCCGCAGTCCCTATTCACCCAGATTCCGAGGGCTTTCGGGCTGGCACTCCCTGGGTGCCGGGGCAGGTCCCACAGGTGGTTTTCACAGACTCTAGTCTTCTAAGAGCCCAGGGATGGCCTCAGTCAGGGCTTGCTGGCCTTCCTTCCTGTTTTTATCCTAATGGGCCTGTACAAGGACCCTGGAATGACTCACAGGAAAGCCCAGCTAGGGAAGAGGGGCGGGAGGCCCTGGAGGCTCAGTCACTGATCGGAGGCCGTGGGAGCCCCACAGGGACTCTCATTACTGACCTAGCCACCCGAGTGGTCTCGAAAATGTGTCTGCAAGAAGATCGGGACAGGAACTTGGGTGCTGAAGGCGGACTGAAGGCTCACTGGGTGTGGCCCAAGGCCAGCAACGCCTGGGGACAGATGGAAATACTGCTGCTAAAGCACACCCCCATGTGGGCAGGTGTTTTAGAGTTTCCAACCTGCTTCCATGTGCACGCGCTGACACGGTCCTTCTTCCACGAAGGAGGCAGCGGAGGTGTTATTTGTCCCACTTGCAGATGCGGAAACTGTCCAGATAGTGGGCGCTCCCCCAGGTAGCACCCCTGCCCCAGAGGTCTTCCCTCGTGGCTTCTTAGGACCTGCAGGCCTATTCACCCGGCCAAATGCTTTGCATCTTTTAGGACTCTCCGACCAACACGCCGTGTCCTGTCACCGTGTGTGGCGACTGCACCATCTCCCCGCCACACTGGGCGCTGTGAGCTCCTCGAGAGCAGGGGCTGTGTCTGCAGGATCCTCAGACCTCTCCCGCCTCCTCCACCTCCCGGCCTGGCCTCCGGCCCCCACCCCCACCCCGCCAGCAGGTGCTGAGATGTCTGTGGAACAGAGGGACAGGAATGTGAGTGGACACTCACAGATAACAGAACAGTGTCACCGTAATCCTGAAGCCAAAGTGAGCAGGAGAGTCGCAAATGTGGGCCACCTGCTCTGCAAAGACAACATGGGATTTTTGGGGATCCCAGCCATGCTTGGGGAAAGGACAAGAACAAGGAAAAGGACAATTCTGGGATGGGGACAGGGAAGGGTGGTGGAGGGCGGAGGTGGGAAGGCGGAGGTGCAGGGATCTGGAATACCTTGCACGGGCTGGCGGGGGCGGGGCACAGGCCGCTGGCCTGGGCAGCCTCGGTGCAGACAGGATGAAAGAATCCTTTGCCTGAGAGAGGCCCTGAGCAATTGCAGGGCTCCCTCTCGTGGCCATGTGAGGCCAAGGCCGAGCACTCAGAGGAGAATCCTGCACTTTCTCCTTCAGGGTGCGGGGAGAGTGGGTTTGGAAGAGCGGGAAAGAACACACTGGTCTTGGGGTCAGGACTCTTGTCCATACCAGTAGCTCATCAGGTTGCTTTGGGCAAGCCTGTCCACCTCCCGGCCTCAGTTTCCTCATCTGATTAATAAGGGGGTTGGGCGAGCTGCACTTCCACAGCTCTCACAAAAGGAAGTGCCGGGCCACACACTCTGTGGTGTTACCTTGGCCTCCTCCAAGGACGTGGCGGGCAGGTGCCACCCGGCAGGGGGAGAGGCTGAGGGTCAGAGAGGTTAAGTGACTTGCCCGTGGCCACCCAGCCGGCGAGCAGCAGAGCTGAAGCCAGGTTTGTGCCTCCCGAGCGGCTCTCTCTCCTGCCCCACAGTGTTCCTCTCGGTGTCCGAGGTCCCTTCTATCTCTGACTGTGGCTCAAGGTGTCTGTGGGAGAAAAGAGACTCACAGGAGACAGTGGGGTCCTGGCAGGTGGACAAGACAGGAATAAGTCAGCTGACAGGACCTTCAGGCCTAGAGTAACCTCACAGACAAAAAGCATAGTTTTCGCAGGAGAAGTTATGGCCCCCATTCAACTAGCCACCAAACAATGCTCTCTGAGCCCACTGACCCCCAAGGGGCTTGCCCACTTCCTAACTGGACTTTGCAGCCAAACTGTCCTCCCAGCGTTGTCCCAGGCCTTGAAGGGACAGTGAGCATGCCCCAGCTTGATGTGTGGGTGGTACCAGGGTGCTGACTGTGGAGCCATGAGGGGCTGTGTTCAAGTCATGATTTTGCACCTTACTGAGAGCTCGGCTTTTGTGGGTATCGCCTCATACAGCAACCCTGTGAAGTGGCTACCACCGCGCCCATTTTACAGAGGAAACTGGGATCCTGAGAGACTGAGCCACTTGCCTGAGGTCACAGACTGTGGCAGTCTTAAAACATGACCTCAGAGTTCTTTGACACGCCCTCCTTCCATTGACAGGCAGGATCTATGTCCCTATGTCCCTCTGGAATCTGGGCTTGGTGAGTGCTTGACCAAGAGAATACCATGAAAGTGACATGGTGCCAGTTCCTGGGCCGTGGTCTTAAGCAACTGGTAGCTCCCACTTCCTGTCTCTTGAGATGCTTGCACCGAGCCCAGCCACCATGTTGTGGAGAAGCCAAGAAGCCACATGGAGAGGCTAGGTCCTGTGGACCCCAGAACCCAGCCCTTATCCACTGTCCCACGCTGCCTCAGTTTACCTGGCACATCTACACTTCAGACGTGTTGGCTGAGGTGATGGGGCCCTTGAGGGGTGACTCGGGCATGCCTATGAAGTTTGTAAATGACACTCCCGACTGTTCTCCGGGCTGGCGCATCTCTGCCGGGCTGGTCCCTAGGAGGAGACAGATGGCAGGAGCGGAGCAGCTCCCTGAGCTCCCTGGGCTCAGCCCTCAGGCCTGCCGTTCCTAGCTGTGTGAACTTGGGCAAATCACTCCGTACCTCAGTCTCCTCCTCTGTATAATGGGCTTACTAGGCGGAACCGTACAGCCCTGTTGGAGGATTCAGCATGTGAGCTTGAGGTGCTGTGTGCCGCTGTACCGTGACTGTAAAGCTCTTAGCAAGGCTTAAAAGCCTCAAAGGACAGCAGTTCAGGTGGGCCAGCGTTCACCAGGAGCCATCAGAGGCTGAGGGCAGGGCACTGGGGGCAATGGCAGGGGAGATTCAGATGATTAGTATTGTCACTGCAAGCCCCTCGCAGGACACGGGCAGGGCACTGGGGGCAATGGCAGGGGAGATTCAGATGGTTAGTATTGTCACTGCAAGCCCCTCGCAGGACACGGACGCCTTTGAACTTGGGGCTGGTGGTGGCCAAGTGCTTGAACACTATTTGCGGCTCCCTCCTCCCCTCCCCCACCCTTGGAGAGCCTTATAGCCTGGTCAGACCCAAGTTGTCCTTGGGACCCATCCTTGCCTCTGTGGTCCCAGCAAGCCCAGCAGAATGACTAGAATCAGCCCCACTTTAGAGATGAGAAAAGTGAGGCCCAGAAGGATGAAATCACCTGCCCGGCTTAGCAGAGGCAGGAAGAGAACGGGGTTGTCCTGCTCGTCAGGTGTGTGCCTTACGTCTGCGGGGCACAAACATGCTCCGAGGGGTGCCTGCCACGTGCCAAGCACTGGAACACCTCCAGGGGACAGTGCTGGCCCGGGGAGAGCTCAGCCTGGGCGCTGGGGTGGAGGTGATGGGCTGCGGCATTGAGTCCCGGCACACCTGAGCAGCGTGCGGCGGGCGCCAGGGAGTGGGATGTCCCCGGCAGGCAAGGATGGCCCTCTGGCTGCTCAAGCAAGTCCCTTTCCTGTGGCAAGACTGTATATTCAGAGAATTTTTTAAAAGTGTGTCATGCTGGGTTTGGGTCACAGACATAGTGGTTAGCAGATGCCAGGAAATAAATGTCGGATGACAAGGGAGGTCTCCAATATATTACCCCAGTGGGACAGGCACAGCAGGCAGTTGGGCGGTGGGTACTGGGAAGCCATGAGACAAGAAGGGACAAAGCCCACCCCCGACCCCACCTCCCCCGAAGGGGCTGTGGCGTAGACACGGACTGAGCCCAAAACCAGGGTCCTCTGCCGCCCAGCTCAGTGACGAGGGAAGAGTTCTTCTAACTCCCTAATCCTCGGTTCCCTAATCTGTCAAATGGGAAGGACAGCGCCCATCTCAGGCTTTATTCATTCATTCGCTTGTTTGCGAGGATGCCATGAGATGACAGGCATAAAACTCATGGCGCATCACTCTCCAAGGGGAGCAGGCCCCTGCCCCCCTCATCTGTCTCTTGGAAATCCCATTCCCAGGAGGCAAGGGCTCCTCTCGGATGATGAGGGTGTGTTGTTTGTGCGACTCCTCCAAGGGACAGTGTGGCCCGGAAGGCGGAAATCGGGTGCTGAAGGTGCACTTGCTGTTTACAATTTATATTGCTACTGGCCACTGGAGCCCCCCAAATGGCTCAGGAGTTAACCAACCATTTCACTCCATGTTCTGGTTTGTTCATTCATTGAGTCACTGAGCATTTATTATGTTCCTACTGCATGCATAAATACAGGGGGGGGGCTCAACCTTTCTTCCTAACCTTCTCCCTCCTCCCTCCCTTGCACCCTCCTGTCCACTGCGCTAAACTTCTTGCCTCCCCGCCCTGCAGCAGAGCAGCATGCTAGAAAGAGCCCAGGTCCTAGGGTCAGGGGGTATGGATTTGAACTTGGTGCTGCCTCTCGCTAGCTGTTACGTTACCTAGCTGCCCTCAGCCTAAGTTTCCTCATCTGCCAAATGGGAATAATAATCAGGCCTATCACCAGAGGCTGTTGTGAGAATGAAACGCCATCAGACATGTAAGACATCTACCGTGGATAGTGCCTGGCCTGGAGTTGAGACTTTTCCTAAGTGTCTGTTGAATTGACCTAATGAACTCCAGCCTGGGAGGTGGGAAACTGGAGTCCTGGTCGCAGGTCTATGTGCACTGGTAAGTCCCTGCCCTTCTCTGGTACTCGGATCCCTTGATTAAAATCTTGGGGCTGGGTCACCTGAACATAAAGCTTTTGTGGCCCTGGCTTTGCACCTGTCACCTTGAACTGGTATATCTCCCTCCTCCCCCAGGGAAGACATCACTAGTTGATCAGAGCATTCCAACTGCTGAGCCCTGCTGGGGCCTCAGAATCTTTCCATGGGGCACCTGCCAGCCATCACCAATCAAATCCAAGGTGGCAGTTGAGATTAAACGGACGTTTCATTCCCGGCCGGTGCCTGGGTGGGGTGAAGAGGCGCATCAGGAAGGTGCTGAGGACACAGTCAAGGTGACGGTCGCGAGGGGGGACAGGGGGTGGTACAGAGCGATGGCGCAGATGTGGAGCAGTGGCCCATTTGGGACGGCCCATGGGGCACAAAGACACTGCTGCCCATGTCATTTCTGTCCCAACAGCCCCTCTTTGTGGGGACACGTGCCCAGGATGGCTTCACCTGGGCAGGCTCTGTCTCCATCCCAGAGCAGAGGTGAAGGTGAGGGAGGGGCACCGACTGTGGACCAGGTGATGTTCTTTTCTTTTTCACGGATGGTCTCGTAATCCTCACTGTCAACCCCGCCAGGGGGACTAGTATTAGCTCCTCGGTTAGGGTGAGGAATGGGAGGCCGGGAGCTTACTGACCGTGGTGCCTAGTCATGAGCTAGAATAACCTGCTGGGGTTGGGTCTTGCTTTGCCTCTCCACTCACACCCCTTTCAGGTGTGAGCACCAGCGGGTTTACCCGATGTTATTATGTCGAATCTGCTCTAGTTTTATATCGGGAAAAAGCAAATCATTTGCCAAGTTTGGGACTCTTACAAGTGACACTGACTCGCGCCACACCAGTGCCACAAGAGTGGCCATGTGTGCAGCATGGAGTCCAAGAATTGCTGGTGTAATTCAACCAGGACACTGGGGCCCAGAGAGGGGGTGAGTGGCCCGACGTCACACACGCAGGCAGGGGCAGGGTGCAAAGTTCTCCTCCCCACGGCCAGTCTCCCTTTAGTGGCTCAATCACGTGGCTGAAACCACTTCCAACATGGGGCTTGAGCACACTGACAGTCGTCTGTCACTGCAGCTGGGCAGCATCCAGGACATCACTAGGTCTCCGCCTCCTCTGAGGGCATGGCCACGCCGGTGCCCGGCCTGGCTGTCAGGGCAGGAAGCCCTCGGCCGGCAGCCAAAGGGGCACGAGGCCTCCCAAGCCCGGGAAGCACGTCTGCTGTGATTACGGCTGACGGCAGGCCCCGGGCTGCTGGGAGAGCCTTATGTAAGGGAGTTACATAAATCATCTTGCGATGTCCGCATCCCACGTTCACAGCGGCACTGGCCGGGCCACCATGTCTCCCGTGCAGCTTTGGGATGCTCCCTGAGTTGGGGGAGGTTGGGCCTGACTCTCCAGGGCCGGGGTGGCTGGGATGAGTCTGTGGCCCTGGGCCAGCAAAGCCCCTGGGAGGGAGTCAGGCCCGTGTGTGGGCTGGCGGGTGTCAGAGGAGCAGTGTCTCAGCATCATCCCTGTCCCCGCTCTGTCATTTACTGACCATGGGACCCTGGGCAAGTTTCCTAGCCCATTTGTGCTTCTGTCTGCTTATCCATTAAAGAGAGCAATGACGGCCTCCGGGAAGAACAGGTGACGATGTACGTCATGTCCTTGGATCAAGCAGGATTTTACACTATGATGATCAGGTGTGGGCGTGAGCAGAGGGTAGCCGGCAAAACAGAGCTGCTACCTGGGTCCTCCGTCCACTCGGCCCTGAATCACTGGCCCTCTGTGCGCCTCTCTTTTTCCATCTCTGAAATGAGAAGTTGGCCTATCTTTTGGAACTGAATTTTCTGTAGAGGTCAGAAAATGTTAAATCTCCTGTAAAACTTATTTTTGGCCATTTAAAACATTATGCTCTAAAAACTGTATCAGCAAACAGACTCACATTCAAGTGCATTTTAACTCACCGCTGTTACACTGGGCTGCCGGCAGGTCACCTCGGGGGTCAGGTGAACCCCTCTGGGGACCAGGTAATAAAGCTTCTCCTGAGATTCCTTTTCATTGATGACTGTCCTAAGATCAAAATATAAACTTTGAAAAAAACTACCATTTCAGCTACTTATGTCTATAAGTCAAGACTTTATAAATGTTCTGCAACCTAAGCACAGTGCGGTTGATTTGAGACCATAATCCATAATTCCTGATTTCAAAGGTTTATGTCATCAAAACAGACTCCTTGTCCTAATCTGCTGTTTGCAAAACAAGTAGAACGTATGCATCTGAATGTGCAAAACAAATTTGTACTCACAGCACTGTGCTGTCACAATTTTACACGTTGGACTTCCAAACATTTTTACATGGGTTTCTCTGCTTAAAAGAAATTTGAGAACCCCTTGCCCCAGATGACCTCCTCGGGTCCCCTCGGGCTTGGCCTGGGAACGCCCCTGCCAACTGCCTTTTCTCACTTGCAGTTCCAGTCTACACACATTCCAGGCCAAACCCCGGAAGTGGGTCGTGTCTGGGGGTGCCCAGAGGTTCTGGGTGACGGTCTGTTCGGATGTTGTTCTGCTCCACTGATGTGCGGGGGTAAGATGGCTGTTCGGTCAGCAAAGGCAAAGCAGGGACGCCACCTCCGCACCCTCCGGTCCCCAGCACATAGCAGGTGCTGCGGGCGTTGATGTGAAGCAGCAGGTGCCCGAGGCTGGAGGGTCCGATGAACTTGAGGCAGGGTCAGCACAGCTGGGTCTGGGGGGTCCTGGCAGCAACAGCTGGGCGGGAAGGGGAGGTCAGCCACCCCCGCCCACCCCAATCCAGTTCGGTTCAAGTCAGCAGAGCTCACTCGCCTTTTAGGGCTTTATGGAACCCCTGCTCCGGTGCTGGGCGGGTCAGCCGTGAAGGGGTGTGTCCAGCTTCCGAGAGCCACATATCTGTAGGACCATAGACACTTCCTCACCAAGTGCAGCCACGGCACTGCGAGGTCTCTCACTGGGGCCTGCTCTGGCCGGGACCATTCTAGTCACTGGAGATACAGAGATGAACCTGAGGACAAGCTCCCTCCTCTCCTGGAGCTCACCTGGGTGGGGTTTGGGGCCAAACAATAAACAAAAAACCCAAGCCAGGAAGCAGCTGTTTCTAGTCCATAGTTCACTGGAAGGGGCAAAGTATTTAATTCATAGAACATTTGGTAAGAAGCTACTCTGTGCCAGGTTGTGGTAGGGGGTCAGATTATAAAGGGCCTTCTGTGTTCTGTCTGAGGGGGTTAGATTTCATCCTCGACTCTACGAACACAGGGATGGGAGAGGGTGTCGCTAGTAATGCTGGGGGTTGGTGGAAGTCTTCCTGGAGGAGGGGCTGTTTGAGCTGGGCCTTGAAGGACGCCAAGAAGACAGGGATGGCTGAGTTGGGCCCAGGAATCAGAAGTTTGAGGCATCTATGGTTGTGTCAACAATTGTAAATACGGAAAATAATTCCCTCCCCACCCAGACATGGGACCATAATGAGAGAGCAACTGGGAAAGGGCTCTCTAGAGGGAGGCAAAATTATTATTACTGCTGGCGTTCCACCTGTCTGTATGGCCTGTCGGAAAAGCTCGGAGGAGCCCCCCGCCCCACCGTGGGTCAGAGGCAGCCCCGGAAACCTGGCCCGAGGCCTGGGTGTGGTGTCGTTGCCACTAGATCAGGTTCTCAGGCCTCTGTGCCTTGAGTCAGTAAGACCCTCTCTCCCGACCTCCGGAAGCTGAGGCTCCCAAGTTCCTCAGTGGGAAGTTGGCCGTCACGCCTTGACCTTGGGAGAGAAGAGCAGCCCCAGGACTCGTGCGGGAAGTCTGGTCTTCGAGGCCTTCAGAGCCGAGGGCGCTGGGGCGGCGCCCGGCCTCCGCGCCAGCTCACGGCGGCGGCCGGGTGGCGAGTCCCGCACGGGCTGTGCTCGCAGGCGGCCTGGCTTCCAGTTCCGGCTCTGCTAGTTATTAGCCTCGCGGCCGTGGGAGGGTGACTCACGTCCCTCGTGGGCTAGTGGCAGCAGCACCACCCTCGCGGAGCCGCCCGGAGGGCCTGGCGGGTCTTCCCCGCGAGATCATGCAGCGCGGCTCTCCGCACAGAGGGGATGCCCGACAGGTGTCAGCTTTCTCCGTCCATCCCGTTTCCCTCCCCCCTTTCGTCTTCTCTTCCCTCTTCTTCCTTCTTAACTCAGAAAGCGTTTGGTGAAACAACAGCCCCTGTTATGAGCTATGGCGAGACTTCCTTAAGACACCAGGGTAGACTCCCATGGAGCCCCCGGCCTGCCGGAGGGGTCGCCATGAGCAGGGGGTGACACGACCGCAGGTGCGATGGCATCTGGAGGAAGCGGAGATCTGAGCCGAGGGGCTGGACGCCCTCAGGAGAGGCATGTTCGAGAGAGAGGGACCGGCAGGCCCAGACGCGGCGTGCAGAAGGCCAGCGGGGGACGAGCGGGGTGCAGGAAGCAGGCAGCTAGGAAGGATCCCAGTGCCGGGCCGTTGTGCCCACCAGCCGCACGCGGGGGGCAGCAGGGAGCCATGGGGGGAATGGGCAGGAGCCCACCCTGGCGACCGTGGGCCAGCAGCGTGCACCAGGTGGTTTGGATCAGGAAGGACGTTTCCTGCCTGTGCCAGTCTGGTGGGCTGGGACATGCCACAGAAACACAGAAGCCCCGACAACGAAGGCTCGGCTCTCGCCGGGCAGAGGCTGCTGCACATGGGGACAGCTCTCCAGAGCGCGCGGCGGCCAACACTCCAGGGTGCTCCGCACCTTTGCCGCACCCATCTGAATCCACACGCCCTCTCCCCTGCGGCAGGAAAGGGGCATGGAAAATACCGCACTGGCTCTTCAAGGCCTAAATTGCGTCACAGCTTGTCAGCACAGGGCCACCTCCTCCAAACCCTTCGTTTTGCCTGTAGGGACCCTCAGGCCGGAAGGGACTTGGCTTGCCTTCGGGCCACCGTGGGCAGGTGCCTCGTCCTGGCAGCAGCTACCTGTTGGCCAGCGGGAGGAGTGAGCCCGTCACTCCCGGTGAGGGCCCGGCCCTGCCCTGCCCGGGCTCCTCGTCTGGGTGGGCAGACTCAGGAGGGGCGCCCCCAGCATTTCAGGATGGGGCACAGAGGTTGGTGCACAGACCACCAGCCATTTGGGTGACCGGGGACAGAAGGAAAAGGCAGCAGAAGAGAGGGGAACAGGCGAGGAAGGGGCGGGAGAGGAGGGCAGAGGAGGAGGCTGGGCCTGGGCAGACAGGCCAGGAGGCGTGAACGGGCCACGAGCTGGCTGGCACAGCGGTGGTGCGGCCATTAGCATTTCCCAGGCAGCCTCCCTCGCCTTCGGCCTCACCTTCCCTCCGGCCAGTGGTGGGCAGGGCCAGCGCCGGCTCTGGGCTCCTTGCTCGCTCAGAGTGGCCCTGCTTGCAGCCCTGCCGGCGTTGGCACGGTGACAGTAGCCAAGTGTGCAAACTTGTGCCATTGTCCCCAGGCCAGGGGGTGCCATGGAGACTGGCTAATATGACACAGGAAAATGTTTGCTGATGGCAATTCTATGGGCTTTGTCCACCTCTTTCTCCATCACGACGACTCGATTTAAGTCCCTAACTGTTTGACTACAAATGCAAGGGGACCGTGCAACGCCAGCCTTTTGTCCGGCCGCGCTGAATGGGCAATTCAGGCTTTGTGCAGCTCAATTGAGGAAGCAAACATAAAGACAAGATTCCTGAGGGCTCCGGCTCCCTTCCCATGGATATCCCAGCACCTCGTTAGAGCCCGTCCTCGGCTACCTTTCCCGACAGACATCAGTGGACCTCCCGACCTGGCAGGCCTTGTGTGCCCGATCCCTGGGGGATCCCGCGGGGAGGGTGGTGGGGGGAGAGAGAGAGAGAAGGAGAGAGAGACAGAGAGACAGAGAGACAGCCACTCAACACTCAAGGACAGCGGGGAAAGCAGCCCGCCCCGGCTTACCCCGTCCGATTGTCTGTCTGCACTGGAGCATGGCAGCCGTGGGCCCGGAGTCTCCGCTGGGCCCGGCCCCTCCTCAATCCTGGACGTTTTAAACACACACACACACACACACACACACACACACACACACACACTCCCCACCCCCTTGAGAAACCAGGGAACCGAGGTCAAGGGGAGGAGGGGCGTGGAGGCCGAGGGGAGTAGGGCTGAAGGGTAGAAATTTACCGGGAAATGATTGCATTTGGGAGCTGTCTTTTTTGTGATGGTCCCCATGGTGACAATTTGTGACAGCAAAGAATGTGGGAACGGGGCGCCGCCGCCTGATTGGGATGCTTTGTATCTGGAGAGGCGCTCCTGATTGGCCTGAGGGGCCCCCCAGCTCCGGGGAGCCGTCCTCCATTCAGCCCACTCAAGGGCTGCACAACTGCTTCCAGCCGGACGGAGCGCGGCCCGCCGCGCCCGGCCTGTCCCAGGTCTGCGGTGGTGAACCTGCTGGGCCTCGCTGGCGGGCCGGGGGCCGCACCTTCGGTCAGTGTGGAGGCCCGGTGGCTCTGGCCCGGCTGGGTGGGGGCGTGGGGCGGGCGGGCGCGGGGGAGGGGCGGGGGCCGTGGGTGGCGGCCGAGGAGGCATGAAATCGCTGCAGATGCTTCCTCAGGGGAGTCCCTGCTGCCCGCAGCCTGGGACCAGCCCGCAAGGCAGGTCTCGATTAAGTGCCAGACAGGGGTCCTGCCTGGTCCTGCGTGAGAGCTGGGGGTGGAGCGTGGGCACTGAGGAGGGGGGACTGGGGGCGGGGGCCACCACCAGGAAGGAAGGGGGCTTGGCCTTGCTTTAAAGTGGAGCGGTTGCCTCGGCTCAGAAAATGAAAACCTTGCTGGCAAGTTGTGCGCGTTGGCAGCGTGGTGTGGTGTGCGGGACACACGGCGGGCTGGGAGCGCGGGGGCTCCTGCTGCAGCCCCTGCCATGCCGCTTGTAGCCGGGTCACCGTGGGCAAGCTGCTTCACCTCTCTGAGCCTCAGCTGCAAGGAGAGGGCAACAGGCCCCAGGGCGCCGGATGAGGCTCTGTTGGTGCCTGTCCCATCGCAGATACTCAGGAAACGCTCGGTGACCTGCGCAGGTGTCCCACCACCTAGGGCTGTGTCCAGGGCTGAGGGCTGCTGGGCTTGGGGACACTGTTGGCAGCCAGGCGGTGTGGCCTTTGGGGAGGCTGGGTGTGGCTGCCTGGAGAGATTCCAACGGCCTGTCGCGCCCCTAGGTCAGCTCGGCGCCCTTCCCCGGAGCTGTCGGCCACCAGCAGAACCCGCCCTCTTCATGGACAGCCCCGTGCAGTGGCCCCCTGGTGATGGCATCCGACAGTGACGTGAAGATGCTGCTGAACTTCGTGAACCTGGCGTCCAGCGACATCAAGGCAGCCCTGGACAAGTCCGCGCCCTGCCGCCGCTCCGTGGACCACCGCAAGTACCTGCAGAAGCAGCTCAAGCGCTTCTCCCAGAAGTACTCCCGGCTCCCGCGGGGCCTGCCCGGCAGAGCGGCTGAGCCCCACCTGAAGAGAGGGCCCGAGGACCGGCCCGGGAGGCTGCTGCTCGATCCGGGCCCCGAGTCCGGCCCCGGCGGGGGTGGGGGCTGCAAGGAGAAGGCCCTGGGGAATCCCTACGGCGAGGAATGTCTCTCTAAGGAGCAGGTCCTGCAGGGGCAGAGTCCAGAAGCCGCCAGGCCTGGCCAGGTGCCCATGAGGAAAAGACAGCTGCCCGCTTCCTTCTGGGAAGAGCCGAGGCCCACCCACAGCTACCCCGTGGGGCTGGAGGGAGGACTGGGCCCCAGGGAGGGACCTCTCTATGAGGGAAAGAAAAATTGCAAGGGCTTGGAGCCCTTGGGGCCCGAGGCTGCCCTGGTGCCCATGTCCCCCAGGGCACTGGCTGAAAAGGAGCCGCTCAAGATGCCTGGCGTGTCCCTGGTGGGCCGTGGCAATGCCTGGAGCTGCTGCCCCTTGCAATACCATGGACAGCCCATCTACCCGGGCCTTCCGGGGGCCCTGCCTCAGAGCCCCATCCCTGGCCTGGGCCTGTGGAGGAAAAGCCCAGCCTTCCCCGGGGAGCTGGCCCACTTCTGCAAGGATGTGGATGGCCTGGGGCAGGTGTGCAGGCCCGTGGTGCTGAAGCCCATCCCCACCAAGCCGGCCATGGCCCCGCCCATCTTCAACGTCTTCGGCTACCTCTAGCAGGGCCCGAGGGCCTCGGCCCCACCTCCGGCCTGCAGGAGTGTCGGGGGCTCCAGGTGGGCAGCGGCGTGGCTTCCTGGGCATTCCCAAAGCCTGTCCCTTTGTGTGTGGGGAGGCGGGCAGGACTGGGGCCGGGGCTCCTCACCCTTGCAGCCTTGTGGGGCTGGGCTCGGCGGGCCCCCTCCAACCGGGCCAGGCCCAGCAGCTCACCCGCCGTCCCTGCGCAGACCACGGGCAGGGGGACTGGGCCCCTGCCTGCCTGCCAGCCACCCCAGAAGCCAGTTACACACCTGTTCATCTGCCACCCACTGTGCGAGCCAATCTCAGTTGTTCTTTTTGTTCTTTGTAAATATTAAGAAGGTTAAATGAATAAAGACATTTCGTTTACAGTTTCCACATCTCGGCTGTCATGAGGTCGAATGGTCCCTGGGCCTAAGGTGGCGCTGGCTGTGGCAGGCTGGGGGCGGCTCCTGGCGGTGGCTGGTCTGGGGGAGGCCAGGAGGGGCCGGAGCCGCTGAGGTGTCTGGGAAGGAGCGCTGGGGGTCAAGGGCAGGAAGGTGGGCAGGGGAGAGGGCAGGGGAGCCCCCAGGGAAGGACACTCTGGCCTGGGCCCCCAGGAGGTCCAAACTGCTCAGGAGACTGGGAGCTGGAGCCAGGGGAGGTGGGGTGATGTGGGGCTGGACCCTCATCTCGCCCAGCTGCAGGACGGCGGGGCGAGGACAGGCCTCGCTGCGGGGCCTTCAGCTCTGCGTGCAGCCTCAGAGCAGACCCGTGCCACGGTGGGCACGCCACCTCCGGCCAGGGGGAAATCCGGCCAAGCAGGAGTTCGGACTCCAAGGACAAAACAGGTGTCCTGACCAAATCGTTCCTCTCTTAAGCATAAGAGAGGAATGGTTCTATGTCTCCAGACCCCAGACAAAAATAAATAAATGGATACAGATAATATTTAAAAACCCCACACAAAGCAATACTCCCTGGCTAATTCAGATTCCCGGTTACCCGAGGACGGCCCTCTCCTCGGGCAGGCCTGCCACACGCCCCCCTCCCCCTGCAAGGGATTGATGAGGCTTCGCCTGTGCCCATGCAGAGGTGGGCACAGGTGGCGGGCACTGGGCCTAGGTGTTGTCCTGACAGTGCCCACCTGGCAAAGCCACCGGAGGGGCCTTCACCTGCACGCCAGCCAGGTTTGCTCTGCTACTGGGGACAGGGCTCTGCGTCTGACAGAGGGCGGCCTGCCCGGGTGCCCGGCTGCTCATTTTATCAAAACATAGTTCCCACAACGAAGACTGGTGCAGGGGGCAGCCCTGGCTGGAGACTCTGGCGTTCCAACCAGCAGCGTGATGCGGGCCAAATTAATCTCCCCTCTGCGCCTCAGTCTCCTCCTCTGTAAAATGGGGGACTATTATAGACTGGGACAGCAAACAGACGCACCTCCCTCTTCTGCACCCAGGCGAGCGTCGACGGGTCACCAGGTTCCTCCTTCGGGGCCCAGACATGGCTCTGATCCTTCCTAACTAGCATAGGCTCCAGGATTAGTGGCTGCCAAGGGCCCTTCTTACCCCACCTTGCTTTACTCCCAGATCCCCCCAGAGCTGGTCGTCCACTGCAGGGGCAGCCCACTCTCTGGGAAGTCAGGGGGTTTCTGGTGGTTTCTGTCTGCTGGCCTCAGAAGACTGCAGAGCCACAGAACTGTATAGCAGGAGGCTCAAAACTCATATCCTCACCCTGCCACTCATCAGCTGTGTGATCTTGGGCAAGTTACTTAACCTCTCTGTGCTGAAATTTCCTCATCTGAACTATGTGATTGGTAATAGACCTGCTGCGTAGGTTGTTGTGAGGCCCGCGTGAGCTCCTGGCACACTGTACCACATGGAAGCTCAAAAGCACCAACCAGGTGGCCTCCTATAGTTCTGGTACTGTCTGTGGGCCCTGCCACGTTGGTACTTTAATGCTTATGGACTGTGCTGTCCATGGGAACAGGTGCCTGAGCACCCAGCCAACCACGCCCGCTAAAGAAGGAGCCAAGCTTTGGGAGACACGTTCTCTTGGGGTGCTACCTGGGCTGCCCTCCAAGGGCCCCTCTGCCGAGACCTGCCGTCCCCACCCACTGCCCCACTCCGCTCAACCTTCCCAGGGGGTACCTGCAGATGCACTGGTTCCACAGCCAGGAAGTAGACACCTTTACTAGGACAAGACCCAACGGAAGCCCAGGGCACCATGATTCCCCCACGTGGCAGCGAGTTGGGGGAAAAACACACATCTAGGAAAGCTTTGGCATTAAAAAAAAAAAAAATGCAAAAAGCAGCCGCAGTAACAGCAGCAGATACTCCCCTAACCAGAGCCGGCCGGGACCTACCCACTGAGCCACACCCACAGCTGCCACCACTGGGGAGTGTGCGGGAGGGTGGCTTCTTTGGAGGGAGATGCCTAAGTCCTCTCCACAGGAGTGATGGTCAAGACATGCAACAAACAACACAACCTGAGGGCTGACCAGGCAGAACTGGCCCACTGGAGCAGGGCCCAGGCCGGGCATCCACCCGTTAGCTGCTGGGCTGCAGCGGGAGGTGGGACAGGACCTAAGAAGTCCACGGCTGCACGTAGCACTTGGTGGGAAGGGGCCCTGCCCAGTGCTATGGCCGACTGGCCAACTGGTATGGACGTAAACACATCAATATTCTAAGGAGCCAAATATTCTAAGTGCATCCCAGGCCAGGGGCCCAGCACCCTGCAAGTGGTGACGATGCTGAATGCAGTGGCCGAGCCCCCACCCCTACACCTCCACCCAGCTCCCTCAGACCAGCACCCTGCCCTGCCCGGGGCCAGGGAAGAGGTGTGCAGCTGCTGCCTGTTAGGACTCTCTGGGAGATACGGTGGCCTGCGAAATGCCACAGTTTAAGGGTTTGCCTCATGTCTGCCCCCAGCCCACATGCGCCCCGAACAACTCACAAACTGGCCCTGTCTGCCTTATCCCATCCTACCCTTCTGGTCACTTTTGATCAGCAGTCACCCAAGATTAAAATGCTCTCCCCCGGCTGCCGGCTCAGCAAAGGCATTCCTCAGTCAGGGTCTTCCCCGTGAGCTGGACCTGGTGGCTTCCCCTGGGCCCTGGGGGTTGAGCGACCCCAGGAACAGGGGAGGGGATGCAGGTTTCCTTGGGGATTTCTTTAGGGCCCCGCAGGCTCTGTGAGATATGCAGCAAGGCAGCGTGGGAACGCGGCCAAGCGCTGTTGAGCCGGAATCCTAGGGACACCCAGGAAGCTTGCTGTGTGTGCCCAGGCAAGTCCCTTCCCCTCTCTGTGCTGGTTCCTCATTTGTACCATGAAGAACTGGGCTAGACATGGTCAAGTGCCCCCTGACCTGTGGCTGGAGGGTGCTGTGTGGAAGATTTTCCCTCTTCACACGGACACTGGGATTTACTGATTCCACAGAAACCCAGTGTGTCAGAGCCGGCAAGGTCACCGAGGCCACCAGGTCTCACCGTACAGATGAGGAAACTGAGGCCCCGGAGGAGTAAGCAATGGCAGAGCCAGGCCCGGGAGCTAGGGCTCCTCCCACCCAACTGGCTGCTCACTTTCCAAAAGCCAGAGACCACCTTTGACCTCAAGTCTCCGCCAGATGCTGGCACCGGGCCTGGCGCGGGCTCTGGGCCCGGGGTGCTGCTCTGGTGCCCCAGCAGGGCCACACGGCCCCAGCGGCTCCTGATCACGCTTGCGAGGAGGACGCTGGAGAGCTGGCGCAGCTCCCACCGAAACAGGGCATGCTAGGTCTCAGCCCACCGGACCCCGAGAGACCACGAGAGAATCCCACGGCAGTGGCGGGCCTCAGCTCTCCCCTACTCAGCCCACGGGGCCACGTGAAACCCAGGGCATCCCACGCACCCAGAGTTGGTGCCTCTGCAAGGGCTGACCATGGCCACCACTCCAGCACCGCTGCCCACATTGGTATTTACATTTCCCCCTAGTATGGCAACTTTCATAGCACAACAGGGGCAAGCATGGTGTGAAAACAGAGTGGCAGGGACGAGTGTATAAGACAATCCCGGGTGCTGGGAGACTTGTGGCACCGAGCACCTGTTTGTGATGCAGCTCCTGTTTCCATGGTGATTAAACCAGGAGAGGAAAGCCCACTGGGTCATCAGGTCTCTCCTGGTGAAGGAATGACACTCCCTCTTGGGTCGTTCAGAAACCTACACAAAGTAACATGTTCAGGGGACCCTGTGTCCTGTCTCCCCACTGGCCCACGCCACCCCCACTATTGCCAGGGGGCAGCGCTGAGCACCTCAGGCCTCTGGGAGTCTGGTGAGAGGGACTTGGCGAGGCAGGGTGACACGTATGTGACATTTATTGTAGTTAACGAAGCCCCCAGGGTCTCCCTCCCCTGGCCCTGGGCCACGTCCTCCTCTTCATCTTTGGAGGGAAAGACCAGAAGTCAGGGGGACAGTTTCACAGAGCAAGGGGGAGTGCTCGGGGAATGCTCTGAGGCCAGGGACAGAGGAGGTCCCCGCTGGCCCCCACCTTCCCCAGACCACCTCAAGTTCTGCCCTGGTCCCTCCCCGGCCCCAGGAATGGAGGTCTCTGCCATTCCCGGCGGCACTGAAGGTCTAGGATCTACATCCCAGATCTGCATCAGTTTGAAAACAAGTGATTCTTCTGCTTGACACGTTCTGTTCTCTGCTCTGGCCAAAGCGCTGGCCCTGAGACCCAGCGAGATCCTGGCAGCTGCCACAGCCTCGTCTTGTCACCAGGTCCCTTTGGGTTTGGGGACACTACCGTCCTGAGACTTAGTAAAAACAGTCTGAGGGGTCACTCCTCTCTCCCTGCGGCCCCGGTTACTGGGTGTTCTCATATTTCAGGTATCTGATCAGTCTGCCCGGGAGGGGCAACGTGTCTAGGAGTTTTATACGGTATTTCCCAATGGCCTTTCGAACTCGCAGCCGGCAAAGGTGAGCCAGAGGTCTTGGAGGTTCTGGAAAAAGGAGGGAAAGAGAGATGCTGATTTGTCGTTGGCAATGGGCAAAGCGTGTGCATCTGTGATCTCTAGCCTAACGGGAGGTGCCCAGCTGACACGGCTGGGTAAGAGAGGGAGTGCCTGCTGCTGGCAACCTGGTCCCTGTCAGCTAAAGGGACCTGGCAGGGCACCTTCCTGTTTGTCACCCTGCATGCCTTGCCCGGGCTCTCTTCATCTCATGCTCCCTCCTCTTCATATGCAACCTGGGCCCCCAAACACGGCCATAGTGACAGGTCAGAGCATCTGACCTCTTAAGTGCCCCTACATGTGGAATTCAGCTCCGAGATCCTGGTTGTGCAGAGAGGTCAGGGTAAGGCGGCGCGTCCCAGAATCCCATCTGGCTGCCTCCCCAGGCGTCACACAGTGGAGTTTTCTCAGCTGGGGT